ATTCACATATTGGAGTTCTCGGTTGATGACAACCCCGAGCCCAGGAAAATTGGAATGGGTGAGAAATGACAGTTGAAGAAGAACCCATAGGAAGCTATGCAGTTCCACATTATTCTCGAGATATCAGAGTGTAATACCCGACGAAAGTAAAGGTTGGACAGTTGCAATGAACTATAGAAGACAAGTACTTCAACTTGTCTGAGAAAAGAAAAAGGAATCAAAGAATATCAATATGGTCGGAACCACGATTTCAAAAGACCTGATCCCAGATATAAGATGAGCTTATACCAAGGGAATAATTAATTTAAGAGTAGCTTCCATGATAAGATCTACATTGTGTCCATGGGCATGAACACAAAGTTCAAGGTCGACTCCCACTTCTCCAATGCATGACCATTCATTCACTGCTCTATTAAAATGAGTTGAGTGTGAAAACCTACCTGGTGAATTACGAGAGGAGTATGACCCGTGAAAACTTTCGGGTTCACACAGATTAAGGAAGGCATAGGTTCAACCCATCGGGGCATCGTGTAAACATATACCACATGCTTCAATAGTAAATATCACCAACTCGAAAGCAGAGCATGGTTGGCCAAACCAGAGAATAGGATTTACCAATGGCATTATATATTAGGGAAAGAACTTCCAAAGTGATTGAACACGAGGGACGTTGTCGGATAAAATCCAGCAAAGGATCCAATGGTCCTCAAGGGATCTGATGTAAACATTGGTACTCAAACAGAGGAAGAAACAATGCAAAGGCATTGGATTCTAGAAACAACTAACTAATTCAAAGCTCAAATGCAAAGGAATTGTGATTTCCAAATCAAGGGATCAGAAGCAAATGCTCTGACTAAGGATGGATAAGTTGGGTAGGCTTAGGGATAACATCGGTGGTAATTTGATTGGTCGAGATCTAGCTCATGTTTAAAATGACATCTGAGCCGGAAGGATGAACTTTGGGTTGGATTGATGATTGTGAGCATTCGCAAACATATTGGATCAAAGACTCAAAATGATAATGATAATGGATGTCAACAAGATTACTAGACTTATGGAAGTAATCATAGTGCAAGCATGTAAGAAAGAACAAGAGCAATAGGCTAGTGAGGATTTTCGAAAGATCGAATAGTATTGCAAAGAATATTGTGAGTCACATGAACAATTGGGGATGAATGGATACTCAGTGAGTGCAAGAATTATCCGTAGGGGTATTCAGGTGGCTTATAACTGCAAGGCAGTAGGCACAAAGTTTTCTCGGAGCAATAGAGAGAATATCGGGGTATCTTGTAATAACAAGATCAATTCGGAGTAATTGTATGAACAACAAGTGTATGTCGTTATCCATATGGATATATCGGTATTAGGGAATTGAAAATCAGAGGGCACAAGGGTCTCGGGAATGATCGAAGAGTGTCTTCAATATCTTCTGGTGAAGCAATCGATCATCTGGAATGAAGCGGATCTTCGGGTGGATGTGATCACGAGATACTAAAGTTAGATTTTAGTAAAGTCATTTAACCCGAATAGTAGAGAGATCAGATTCCCAGAGCATAGATCGAGGAGTAAAAGATCCTAATACCACCCAAACGGCGACGTGGGACCATGGGCCGCACATCCATGTTAGTAAAACAGTTTTCATCGACTAGACTCAACTTCGACCAAGGAGTGTGGAAGAGGGATTCCTACAGGCAGTCGGCTCTGATACCAACTTGTGACGCCCCCGATTTAACCGTACACTAGTCATACACGCAAATGTGTACGATCAAGATCAAGGACTCACAGGAAGATATCGCAACACAACTCTAGACACAAATTAAAATAATACAAGCTTTATATTACAAGCCAGGGGCCTCTAAGGCTCGAATACAAATGCTCGAAGACACAAGAGTCAGCGGAAACAACAATATCTGAGTACAGACATAAGTTAAACAAGTTGCCATAAGATGGCTAGCACAAACTAGGTTATAGATCGAAAGAGGCGCAGGCCTCCTGCCTGGGATCCTCCTAAACTACTCCTGGTCGTCGTCAGCGGCCTGCACGTAGTAGTAGGCACCTCCCGAGTAGTAGCAGTCGTCATCGACAGTGGCGTCTGGCTCCTGGACTCCAATGTCAGGTCGCAGCAATCGGGTATAGTAAGGGGGAAAAGGGGGAGCAAAGCAACCGTGAGTACTCAACCAAAGTACTCGCAAGCAATGAACTACACTACATATGTATGCATTGGTATCAAATGGAAAATGGGTAACATATGTGGACTAAACTGTAGAATGCCGGAATAGGAGGGGGATAGCTAGTCCTGTCGAAGACTACGCTTCTGGCCACCTCCATCTTGCAGCATGTAGAAGAGAGTAGATGGTAAGTTCACCAAGTAACATCGCATAGCATAACCCTACCCGGTGATCCTCCCCTCGTCGCCCTGTGAGAGAGCGATCACCGGTTGTATCTGGCACTTGGAAGGGTGTGTTTTATTAAGTATCTGGTTCTAGTTGTCATAAGGTCAAGGTACAACTCCAAGTCGTCCTATTACCGAAGATCAATGCTATTCGAATAGATTAACTTCCGTGCAGGGGTGCACCACATTTGCCAACACGCTCGATCCCCTTTGTCCAGACACACTTTTCTAGGTCATGCCCGGCCTCGGAAGATCAACACGTCGCAGCCCTACCTAGGCACAACAGAGAGGTCAGCACCCTGGTCTAAAGCCTATGGCGCAGGGGTCTGGGCCCATCGCACATTGCACACCTGCACATTGCGTACGCAGCTGGTGAGTAGACCTAGCGTCCCTTATACAAGAGCAGGCGTTCCAATCCAAACCGGCGCGCGCCACTCAGTCGCTGACGTCACGAAGGCTTCGGCTGATACCACGACGTCGAGTGCCCATAAATGTCCCCGCGTAGTTGGTTAGTGCGTATAGGCCAGTAGCCAGACTCAGATCAAATACCCAGATCTCGTTAAGCATGTTATTTTGAAGTAACCGCGAACACCGACCAGGGCCAGGCCCACCTCTCTCCTAGGCGGTCTCAACCTGCCCTGTTGCTCCGCCACAAAGATCAACTCAAAGGGCCGTCGGGACAAGCGTCCTTTCGGGCCCAATCTGTGAATCACTCGTGGGTACTCTACGAGCCAACCCGGCTTTAATCACCACAGGTATCATATAATATGTATATAAGTATACACCCGTGATCACCTCCCGAGTGATCACGGCCCGATAGTATAGCATGGCAGATGGACAAGAATGTAGGGCCACTAATGATAAACTAGCATCCTGTACTAAGCATTTAGGATTGCAGGTAAGGTATCAATAACTGCAGCAACAATGACAGGCTATGCATCAGGATAGGATTTACGAAAAGCAGTAACATGCTACACTACTCTAATGCAAGAAGTAGGGAGAAGAGTAGGCGATATCTGGTGATCAAGGGGGGGCTTGCCTGGTTGCTCTAGCAAGAGAGAGGGGTCGTCAACACCGTAGTCATACTGGGTAGCAGTGGCGTCGGTCTCGGTGTCTAGCGAGAGAAGAGGGGGAAGAAACAATAAATATTAAGCAAACAGATGCATAGCGATGCATGACATGACAAGTATCGGTGCTAGGGGTGCCCTAACGCGGTATGAGGTGGTACTGGTGAAGGGGGAAAACATCCGGGAAAATATCCCCGGTGTTTTGCGTTTTCGGACAGATAAATCGGAGGGGAAAAGTTGTGTATTTTCTATGCTAGGGATGCGTGGTGGATGAACAGGTTGCATATTCGGATTCGCCTCATCGTTCTGAGCAACTTTCATATATAAACCTTTTTCATCCGAGATACAGTTCATTTTATATTAATTTTTGAAGTTTTATTAATATTCTACAATTTCTAGAATTCTTTTTAATTCGAATATATTGAATACAGAACTGTTATGGGTACACATAAGTGTACCCACCAATGTGTGGATGTCTATGTCAGGTGGGACCTGTTGACTGCTGAGTCAGCAGTCAACAGTCCCTGTTGACTGGTCAAAGAGGGCCAATGGGGCCCAGGTGTCATACATACAGTTTTAACAATTTCTTAAAAAATATATATAGAGGTGGGGTCTACTTGTCATTGGGTCAGTTAACTAACATATTGTTTTAAGTAGATTAAGTGGTGGTAGGTCCCGATGGTCAGTGTCACATGTGGATAATTAAGTTTACTAGTAGACCGCCCGTGCGTTGCTACGGGCTACAATACAATGCATATAAATGAACTAAACAAATGACTAAAGTTGTCTTCAAGGTCGAAGCTCAATTCTTCCTTGTATATTTGGGCATGTTTGGACATCAAACGGACGGCCGATAGGCTCTCCAAATTCAGCTGTGTGGACAATCGCTGCAACATAGCTAACACTTTATTTGCAATCAGCCACTCTCTTCTCGTAACATCCTTTCTTCCTATCATTGTAGCCCAATTGTTGAGCTCCCTCCATAGTCACACATTTCCTCACACCGCCAACCTGTCAATCACGTTGGGGGACACCCGAAGACAACCGTCCTTATCGTCGCCCTCTCGCTAGGAGGGACAAAGAGCGAGGCATAAACACACACATACGTAAGTTAATTCATTATTTCATTAACTGATTACTTAATATGATGTCTTGTATCCTCTACATGGACAAAAAATACAACAAAAATATTATCTTCATTCTACAGAATGAAATTGAAAACTTGTGAACAAAATCACAAATAAGTGTTGAAAAGTAAGAAAACACGAGGATCCTTAAATTGGTGATACGATTTACATGATACTAACTCCTTCCATATACATAGGTCCCCTATCAAAATACTGACAAAAAAGAGAAGTGATTAAAGCCCGTCTCATGGGCCTCGCATACTTGGACAGACGATGTAACTGAAATCCATATATTAGCTCAATTATAAGGTGCTTCCAATCAAAACAAAACATTTACAAGGGAAGGGGCTACTACAACTTGTACAGTCCTGAGCCACCACGCTGCTAACACACTCATTGTCCAGTGCATGCAAGTCATCTCTTCCTCTCCCCATCACAAGTGACATGTTCAAACTCCAAAGTCGATGGATTGGATCCTTCAATGCGAAGACACCAAATTTTGAGCTCCAAGGTGCAACCTTGCAGCCTTCACATGATGCAGTATATTGGCGAAGGTAGCATACTATCAAATTTAGATCCGATTATATTTTTATACCTCTCATAACATAGAGATTGACAAGATATGATGATTATCACTTGAGAATATATACCAGCAACAAAAACATCCACAAAATATAAACACATATCACTTTTAAAAAGGTAAAACTTTGAGACACAGCAAAACACTATATGCCTAGATGTAAAAAATGACAAAAGGAGAATAGGAATAAATATGAAGACGTGGAGTATTTGAACCCGAGCTCACATGCTCCTTGATGAATAGTAAAATCCGAAAACACAGTAAAAAAATATAAAAAATCTGATTTTTTTCAATTAAAATTTATGAAAGTTTTAACTTCTTGCAAATGCTTTTGATGAAATGACATTCGTGTAGGTCTGGTCAAAAATGAATCGACGCTCCAAAACATTTGTTCTCGGAAGCATTTTGGAGCATCGATTTTTTTCTTTTTGTCCAGACCTCCACCAATGTTATTTCATCACCAAAATTTGCAGGAAGTTAAAATATCTATAAGGGAGGCCAAGTGCTACTAAAACAATGTATGAGCACGAACCAGTGGCAGAGCCAGAACATATCTATAAGGGAGGCCAAGTGCTACTAAAACAGGTTGGGGAGGGCCAAAGTGTTGAAAAATAGATTTTTAGCAGCAAATTAGTACTAATTTTGCCACTGTTCATAGCAAATTACATGCAAAATCATGGTGTTAGGGGGGGCCAGGCCCCTGCTGGTCCCCCTGTCTCCGCCACTGGGTACAACCTAGTGAGACCAGCTTAGGACTTTGTACAACTAAAATCATTGCGTGGACAGTTGATCAAGCACAAACATAGACATGGAGAGAGAAGAATAAAAATTCTAATATATTCACCTCAATGTACCAATCATCGTCTTCGTATTGTCTGCAATGAACATTTGTTTCACCGGGAAGTGGACCCCCAAATCTATCGGCTTGTATGTCATGAACCCTCGCCACAGATGGATTGCAAGCTATAAATTTAAGTTTTCAGAAAGGAAATGTCATGAGACCATTGCCCATCAGATCTTCATTGCACCACAGTGAACACATGAGAAGCATCAAACTCACAATAGACTTCCGTGGTTGGTCCATGCATCCATGGTGGGCTGCTTCTTGGGTCCTCTGATGATAACATTCCCAAACAACTCCTCTGCGTCCTCCGGCATGGTTGGCCACATGCTCCTCTCGAGGTCCAGTATTAAGGTTGGCCTTCGGGCTGTGGGTACAAAAATCTATATTAATTGTTAAAAATGCAAAGAAATCATAAATATTATTCATGCATAGACACCTTGCTGGAGAGGACAATTTGACAGAGATGGAGAAGAGGTGTGAAGGAGGGATTCTCCTGGCTGTCATTTTCATCGCCAAGTGTGCTAGTATAGGGAGGATATGGAGGAGGTACTCGTGCTCACCGCAGGTGACCATCCTCGACCGGCCATGAATCATCTCCTCGCAGTGTGATGGAACTGACCATCCCCAACCGGCCATGAATCGTCCTCGCAGGTGATCGTCCGTGACCAGCCATGGATCATCCTCGTAGTGCGATGGAACTAACCATATACAAATGAATTAAAGTAGCTAGAAAATAAAACTAAAGATATTTTTTAAATAAATAATAATAAGTAAGAAGAATGGTGTCAAGGGAGGGAGGCTGGACCTAACGTGCAGCGGAGGACTGATAATTATGTATATATTTTGGCTGTGTTAAACAGTAGAAATGTTTAAATGTTTGACCAATTTTTGCCGTGTTAAACAGTACATAAATATGACGTATGAGCATGTGCGTCGGACTGCTCACTATGTATATATTTTGGCTGTTCAGCATTGAGAAGATGACACTAATCCAAAATGATTATATCAATTTAGCATCATTTGTTCAGATGTTGCGGAAATATTGTGAGTATAGAAATAAGACAAATATGACATATAGTACACTAAATGACGCCTTGAATTTCATAAAAGTCTGTTGGCCAACTAATCAACAACGTAATTCTAAAATCAACCAAGAATTCTACCCTGCACTCAAATCTTCAGTTGACCAAATGATATATATCAAGATGAGAATAATGTAACATGATGCAAAAAAAGAAGATGGAACCAATATGCTACAGGAAGTTACTGAAACAACAAAGCAAACATGAATTATATCACCTAGAGTGGTCATCAACAGTGGCAACAGCTTTTCCTTCAGCGCACTTGGTAATATAGCAGGCAATCTAGACACTCCATGATTAGTTTCCAAATCCATAATTTCAATGAGAGAAAACAAGAATGGAAGCTACAGTACCTATGGGCAGGCTGACGGGTACTGCAAATTGTGTCAAAAAATTGTACTCTCTCCTTGTATTAATTAGTATGTTATTTCTGTAAGCAAATTAGGCAGCGGCAGTGCCTCAATAAGAATAATTATTCCATTCAAAAATAATAAGAAGAATCATTATACAAGACACAATGGCATACATGGCAGCTTGAAAATCACGGCTCACAAGATTGAGAGATAAGACAAATATGACATATAGTACACTAAATGACGCCTTGAATTTCATCAAAGTCTGTTGGCCAACTAATCAACAACGAAATTCTAAAATCAACCAAGAATTCTACCCTGCACTCAAATCTTTAGTTGACCAAATGATATATATCAAGATGAGAATAATGTACCATGATGCAAAAAAAAGATGGAACCAATATGCTACAGGAAGCTGCTGAAACAACAAAGCAAACATGAATTATATCACCTGGAGTGGTCATCAATAGTGGCAGCAGCTTTTCCTTCAACGCACTGGTAATATAGCAGGCAATCTAGACACTCCATGATTAGTTTCCGAATCCATAATTTCAATGAGAGAAAACAAGAATGGAAGCTACAGTACCTATGGGCAGGCTCACGGGTACTGCAGATTGTGTCAAAAAATCATACTCTCTCCCTGTATTAATTAGCATGTTATTTCTATAAGCAAATTAGGCAGCGGCAGTGCCTCAATAAGAATAATTATGCTATTCAAAAATAATAAGAAGAATCATTATACAGGACACAATGGCATACGTGGCAGCATGAAAATCACGGCTCACAAGATTGAGAGATATACATACCAAGAAAAAGACAAAGAAAAGCTGAAGAACCACACCTGCATTTCCCAAGCACGACACAGATAGACGAACGCCCTTGAGGTCGGGGCAGAGCAAGAATCCTACCAGGCCAGAGGCATGATCCAAATCAGGGACGCATGCGTGCATACTGACATCTCCACAAGCTTGTCCGTGCAACCGCAGCTTCATTCGCTCTCGCAACTGCTCGGGTCGACACAGCGTAGGAACATAGTACCACTTGCAACTCTAAGAGCATATCAGAGCAGTAGTTAGTTTCATCTTATCGCAAAATTCTGAACTAACAAGTGCCTACACATCTCCATCCCCATAAACAAACCACATCATAGGAACATACCATCTAGTATGAAACTTCAGACAGGGAAATTGATTGAAATTAAATTCCAATCCGGGTGGCTGCCGCCTCTGAGATATCCGCCCTTACAAACGACCAATCCTCTGATTTTTGTTGTTGCAAACTGCACTAAAGAGCTTTTTGAATCGCGTGGTCGATCAAAAGGCCCTGGAAAAAAATACCAAACAATATCAATAGATTGATGTTCAGACGTGAACATAGTTGAAGGGGCGGGGGAAGACGAACCAACGGTAGTCTTCTCTTTGGGATCATTTGCGTAGCCACCTTCTTGACCTCATCTTCTGTGAGCATCCCATCAATGTTCATGTTCCACTTGTTAATGTGAGACACCCAAAGGAAAATTTTCATCAGTATGTTAGATTGACTTAAACTGAACATAGCTTAGTCCAAGATGTGGTCAGTAATCTCCGTCTAGACCTCTTTGAGCCGATCCTTGTTAATGCCTTCATCCGACTCAATGTTCCTCTGCCTCGACATATCCCGAACAACTTGTTAGCAAACTCCTTGGAGTTCTCCATGCCTTGGATCTGAGAAGCATGCCCATTAGAAAGTTTAACAATTATATGGCACTGCAAAAGTAATTAGAAAGTCTAACACATTTGCGCAATTGTATCATGAAACCTGTAAAAACTCGGTTACTGGACGAGCATACAAACTGAAATCCTACTATTTTATACAATCTTCACATTCCATTCATCAAGCAGATAGTAGCAATCATTCTAATAAATGGAATCAAAACTTGGAGACTCCCAATTACGAAAAGCACAAGCGTTGAACAAAATGAGATGGAACATACATGGCGTAATTTGTTCTTCCCAATTCACCCAAAGTAACCGGCCAGTGATACAATCAGTTGTAGCAGTTAAGCAGCTAACAGATCTATTTTATTAACTGCAAAGAGGAGAGATCATTCGAACCAGCGGTAGTCTTCTCTTTGTGATCATTTGCGTAGCTACCAACTAACAAATATATTTAATTAACTGCAAAGAGGAGGACCGGTATCTATCCTGCACTGTGATTGACCCAGAAATACTTGGAGATGGTGCAGCCTTATGGCTGATGCATCTATTCACATAAACAGAGAATACTCACCGTGTGGCCCGAATGAACATCAACATGTCCTCAACGGCTACCACCCGCATGCACCTGGCCGCTGCCTGTGCCATGCTCACGCCCACCATTGTCGTGAGCATTGACCACGCACCCTGCTATGAGCGGCCTTGCGTTGTCGCCTGCCGCGCCCTCTGGTAGGCCCACAGCCCGTTGGTCACCGTCACCGTCGGATATACGTGTGGAGCAACAGCAAGGACGAGGACGGGACTGCAAGAGGAAGAGGAGGCATCACCGTCGGAGATAGAGGTGGCTAGGGTTAGCCACGGGGCCGCACATGGGACCAGAACAGCGAGGCGGCTGCATATATTGGAAATAGGAGATCTTGTCGGAGTCGGTAGCGCCATGGGGGCACCAATCGACGGCGGAGGTGGCCGGTAGTGGACGCTGACAGCGATGCACGCGCACAGAAGAGAAATATTGGGAAAACGGAGAGAGGCCAGCGAACCAGAAATAGAGAGGGATGGCGATCTCAGAGGTCGATGGCGGCGATCTTGGACCTCGGCGGCAGCGATCTTGGACCTCGACCGCAAAGCGATCACACCCTGCCCTGCCCTTGGGTTCCGCGAGGCGGCGGCGGCCGACGAGTAGGGTGCCCCAGAGGTCGGCGGAGGAGGAAGACGGTGCGGCGGCGGCTCCTCCCGGACCTCGGTGGCGACGGCTCCTCTCGGATCTCGGCGATGGCGAAGGCTGTCGCCGCTGGGCGTCCTGAGGATCAACCTGGGAATAGATCGAGGGGAGCCCTGTCGAACCTGCGTGCGATTTGTTTGTTTTTTTCGCTGGTTAATTTTCGTAGGTTGTTTTTTGCTGGTTAACCTTCGTAGATTTTATTTGCTTTGCTTTTTGGATGGTTTTTCACTTGTGGTGCGAGGGCGTGGGGCGGGTGGGGCCACGGTATGAGGTTTTTTCGGTTCATGATGGCTCAGTGTGAGGTGAGAGGAGGTATCAAAAAAACCATGGGAGGTGGGTCGAAAATTGATCGGTGAAGACTACCAACTGCTCCATTAGGAGTAGAGATCAGAGGGGTAGTGTCCTGATTAATTGGGTTAGTGGTTGGGGCCCACCCAGCTTAGGCCTAACCGGCCAGCCACGCGTGTGCAGACAGGCGCGTAGCTGCCGAACCCGCAGCAGCGGCGGTGGCCAGCTGGGCTGGAGGCGGGTGAGGCGGTGGCCCGCGGGGCCGGAGGCAGGCGCGCCAGCGGCGACCGGCGAGCTGCGGCGGCTCGTGGGCCAGGCCAGGTTGAGGCGGGGCGACGAGCGGAGGGGGGCGCAGCGGGGCCGCGCGGGCGGGCGCCGGAACGGGGCGCCACGGGCGGGCGGCGAAACAGGGCTACGCGGGCGAGCGCAGCAGGGCACCCGCACGCTGTGTGCGCCGGAGCAAGGTGCGGTCGGCGACTAGCAGTAGCGGCGGCAGTAACGAAGCAGCAGCGGCGAGATGCGGAGGCGGCGGTGGAGGCGGGCGAGCAGCGGTGAGGCCATGCGCGGGTGACGGGCTGCGCGAACAGGCGGTGCGCCATCTCGCAGAGGCAGGCTCCGGCGTGGCGCAAGGCCAGGGCGGCAGCAGCACGGGACATCAGAGGCTGTAGGCGCGAGCGGTGGCCAGCGGTAGCGGCAGGATTAGTAGCGGCTGCAGCAGTACGTACGCACACACGGATGCAAAATTTCGGGGAAACCATGGCGAACGGACCTCGCGGGGCGGACACTACGGGCACGGATCGAGCCAAAGAAAAGGGGCAACCGGAGGAGGGGCTTACCACGGTGCCGAAGGTGAGCTCGAGGTGGCCGGGAACGTACTGGAGATGAGGGATCGAGCGTCAATGGCGGCGGCGGCCGTGGGTGAATAGGTGGACGATGCGTCGATTGCAGTGGCGTTCTCGTCCAATCCGGTGATGTAGTCGATGTAGAGGTCGATGGT